ACTCGTCCATTGACTTATAAGGATTTATTGGATGACATGCAGTTATTTCTCCGCACTACCGCAGGCCCCCTTAATTTTGGAATTGGTTGTTTGGCATAATCAGAATTTGGTTTAATAAAGTGTGGCCCATATTTAATCCAAAGTTATTGTCTTGCATCTTCATTTCGGGACCTGGGGGAGCAATTTGTTCTGTCTCAGTGAAAAAAAAAAATCTTTTTAAAACAAAAACTCTGATGCTCATATGCTTAGTTTATGAACATCTCTGTATGGAAAACCTGAGAGACCGGTGTGTGACTCTCCATTCAGGGTCACAAGTGGAGACAGTGACCCAGCTTACAGCATCTTGTAATAGAAAGAAATATGCCAGAATTAACCATTAATCCTGGATATTTTAAATTACTGTTTTCCTTTGGTCTTTTCAAACTATCCTCAAATGTCATTAGACTCCAGGTAAATGATCTGCAATGTTAGCACAAGAAACTTTTCAATCATAGTTAATAATGCATTTAGAGCTGCAAATATCTGACAACCAGAAGCCAGAACAGCAATTTATTTTTCAGATATTTAAATAGCTTTTAGCACTGGAGAGGATTAGGCAGAAAAGAATGAAACAAATCAATGAGAATTAAAGTTATTCCTCACTTGCCGATACCACCTGCCAACAACCAACAATGGTGAAAACTGAAGTAGGGAGAAGAGAAAAGCTTTTGAACAAGGAAACAGTGAGCCTCTTCCCATTAAAGTTAGGCACTACTCAGTCCTATTGATTTTATGGGGAAATGTAAAGACGAACGGAACAAAAATAACACCAACCATCTTTCTTCAAAGAGATAGAAGAAAATATACCAAGATCAGGAAGTATGGTAGCCAGATACTATAAAACTGTAATTGTGCAGTGCTTTTTTGGCTGACAATCAGGGCCAAACTTTATAACAAGTGCCTTTCCCCCATGTCAAAAGGGAAATCAAAACAACAATGTTTTGTTTCAAAACTTTGAAACAAAAGAGATAGAATTTGGTTGTGTAAGGGACCCATCTATCCTTCCATTGAATGGGTAGAGCAGAAAAAATGGCTGAAATCCTGTTGGTGCAGCTATGCCTGAAGAAGGGTAATGAGTAATGACATCATTAGCAGGGAAGATATTTTAGTAATGAAAACCTCATTCTTCCTGTAGCTTTTTTGATTTGCAAATAATATCTTTTATCATACAAAAACCGTGGGAACCATTGGAAACAAGGAGGAAGACTTTCATTACCAAAAAACATTTCCCTGCTGGTAAAATAATCCAATGGCAACAGTTTTCAGTAATTAAAGACTTCCTTCTCCCCCTTCTCTCTTGAAGCTCCCATGGCTTCCACATCATGAAAAGGATTGTTTGCAAGTCAGAAAAACTGTGGAAGATAGAAGCATTGCCTTACTAAAATCTTCCACTGAGGGTAAGATCATCACCCTTCTGCAGTCATAGCTACACTAACAGGATATCATCCAGTGTACCTAAAGTACACACATTCAGTTAGCAAATTTTAAGAAAAATGAAGACAAGACAGGTTGGAACTATGGGAAATCCTAATAGGCGGACATCACACTATAGTTGGGAGTTGTTCTATGAAGCTTTCATTGATATTTTAACTTTCTGTGATTTAAGAATAACACTTTTCTCTCTCAAATCGTCTTGCAAGTGGAGCAGACTTTAGAGGAGTCTGGTTGGTCATCTGTTCTGTTCCACAACCTCCTATTTAGAAGAGTCAGCTATATGGACTGCTCTTTCTGAGTCCAGCTTAAGGACTACCAAGCATAAGAAAGGAGAATACAGAGCGGGCTTCAAAACAGCCCGTCAGCATCAGTGCCAGCAGAATAAAGAGGCAAGTGGAGCATCTGGTCATTCTTCCACATTATGAAGAAATACATTTCATTTCTCTTTAAACTGCAGCAATTGTTCTGGATTTTATATCTTTACATGTGAATTTACATGTGCCAATGTTACATGAATTTTTTTTCTTTTTTTCTGGTGACACATTTTCTCTTTATAACATTTCTGTAGCTGCCACAGTAAACCACTTGATGGCCTATTGCATTGACCAATGCAACTGCAGATTTTCTGCCCATGCTGATAGTACTGGCTTAATGCAGAACTGAAATCTTAGATGTTCCTTCTGTATTATTTTCCCCTTTTAGATGCTCTACTGAGTTCTCTAGTGAGATGTTGAGCAAAATATTGTGGAATACTCTACAAAGGCAATATAGTAATTGATCATTTAGTTTTAGCTTTCACAGGCTGGACTTCTTCCACATGCATCTACTAGTTCTAATTCATTTCCGCCCAAATGATCAGAATTTAGCCAACAATGCTCAAGAGACCTATTTAGTAACAGAGAATAACTGAAGGGATTTGACTCTCAAAAGTGTATTTTAACTAAATTGAGCAGGTATGCCCCTTAGTTTATTAATAACTTGGATCAATAGTCTGTCTGATTAACAATGAAAACAAATTAATATATATTACTAAAATATTATATACACCAGAGACAATAAGGCTACTCTTACTGCTCTGTTACCATTTCATGTACTAAGCATTGGGAATGCGCATAGTGAAAACCTCTGCTTTTGGGGGTGATGGTTCTTTCAGTGGATTGCCTCCTTTGTTTTTGTTGTGTGTGTCCGTCCGTCTGTGCGTGCAACAGTCCTTTCATTTAACATGAAAGGGACCAGCTCTTTCAGGCCATTTCATTTTCTTTACCAGGCATTCGTTTTTTTCTGACAATAGTCCAAAAAAGTCCTAAGGACCCCATACAAACTACTGCAAAAGGCAACAGAGAATAAATCTATTTCAAAAACAGGGAACAGTACAATGAACAACAACAACAAAACCCAAACAAAATGGTTCCAATCCCAAACCGCCAAATTATACACCTTTAACAGAATAAATATACAGTAAATCAACCAGAAAACAATTTAAAAAAAATCAGTCAAACTGGGGAAGCAACTCAGGAAAAAAAATCAAAATAAAACAACCACATATATGCAGAAACACATACTCCGCTCTCTCAAACTCCCCAAAAGCAAGAAAAGGAAAGGAAAAAATATAGTCAGCTCCTTTCCTCACCCCATAACAACTAGAATGTGTGGAAATTTCTCTCCCTCATACCACTTGATGCCTTCTCTCCTCTCTTTTGAGTCCAGCACAACAACAGGGAGCCAGGCAGCAAAAATAATCCAAAAAGAAAAGAGCCAAAAAGGATGGGAAATGGTCAACAATTTTTTTTAATCTCAGGAAGGTATACTGGCACATACAGGCTGCTGATGGCAACAGGAAAAATAATCCAAAGAAAGGGGGGAAATTCCCCCAGAAATCCAGGGAGGAGGAAGCAACAGGTGCAAGAGGAACATAGGCAGGCAACTGAAGATGGAGGGCACCAAGAACTCAGACACCCACAAGGAATGACTGAAGCAAAGGGCGCTCTCACTGGGTTCCAACCAATCCAGGCCATTTTACAGATTAAACATTCCTGCTCCCCCAGCCCCAATTTGGCTGCTGACAATAGTGCTTGTAATACTATTGGATGAAAATTTTCCTCAGTGATTTGACAGAGGCTTTAACAAAAATAAAACAAAAGAGGGTTAACACAAATTATTTCAGAAGATGAGCTCTTTCAAGAATCAATGAAAGAACACAAAAACAAAGAA